AGCAGTTGGCTGCATAACAGTTTTTTTTAGTCTGTTACTAGTGTTGGATAATTCCGCGTATCTGAAACAAGTAGCCAATTTGAGTTTTGCATGCTAGTGCACGTAGTTATATGATAGGGACCCGCTTTCTTAACGTCAGTTGCGATTGACTAGCAGAAAGCCAGAAGTCGGTGAATAACAATATGCCTTTGATTTCAATACTGCGTAATTTACTCAGTTCACAGCCAAATCAGATCCGCGTAAATGACGTGGCTAGTGGGTAAATTAACAATATTTACGGGAATCTATTATTAGCCGTCCGTAGCAAACATAAATTAATGCTTACTGTGTAAAAATGAAAGTCGTAGCAACTCAAATAACAAATAATAACGTTAAAACCTTCTCTTGTAAAATTTGATTTTGTGTAGATACGCCTTTTACAAAAGCTACTTGCGCGGCTTGGCAACTTGAAACATCCTAGGTACTTACGTCACACGCACAATAACATATACATAATTCTTATTATTAATGATATTTACAGAGCTATAGGCAGTATGGTACATATACATATCATAAAAAAAACTATGAGTGGAAAAAATTGGCGCTAATTTGTAGTTACAAGTGTTCACAAACGAATTACTTTTTATTATTTATGTTACGATTTGAGTTCTCAAGTTATTCGTTATCGATGGCTGTGTAGCCAATATTCCATAAATACCTAAATAATATAATAATGGAGTCTGATCCCGTATTTGCTCATTTGAATGATAAGCTGTTGTTAAGATGACTATAACGTAAGTATACTCAATAATTAACACTTCATATTAATATCTAGGTACGTACCTAAATTACAAGTTTATTTTGGCATTTTCATAATTTTTCGTGTTGTCGCCTTGCATTATAAATTTGCATACACATAATAAAAAACGAATATCTTTTTAATTAAACAATAAAAACGAAATCTGAAATGGCAGATATTTAGTAGTAAATTACTACTAAAACTTTACCAATCATAGTCTCTATCTTAGAATAATAACGCATAGAATGATAGTTTCATATCAAACGAACTGTCACAAGTGAGGCAAAAACCAAATTCATGTAGGCGTAAGCAACTTGTAACTACGCTCGTCGGCACGCACACAAATATACAAATAATGATGCCATGGAATAACATTTCCCTCAAAAGTGGGGAAATTGTATCTTGCTTAACTCATCATTAAGTTAAAGGTGCCTACAGATTTGCCCGACATTGTCGATCAGGTGCCTACAGATGTGCTCGGTTTTGTCGATGAAAAACGAATATAGCACTTATTTGTAAATCCAAGATGGCGGACACGATTTTTCAAAATATGCTATATGGGTATCCTTTTCGAGGTATTTGGGGATGCTCATTACGAATAT